ACTTAGACCATACCTGAATAATGTTAGTAGACCTTCCTGAAATTAAAGCACTGTGTAGGCCTGTATAATGTGTATCTTTGTTTAATCTATTGTTCAATATATATACTGACATACATACGTACATATCATCCTTGCCTGTAGAGAGGAGTTTATTTCAGCATCATATAAAATCAACAATAATGATAAATAATATTAAAGCAAACACAGCTCTGGTATCGGAAAAGTATCGGTATCGGCCGATATCCAAAGTCGGGTATCGGGATCGGATCGGAAGTGAAAAAATGTGGATCGGTGCATCCCTAATACAAATGATCACATCAATTAAAAAAAAACCTTCTAAAGAACAATTGTATGCAGGCACACACAGACATCAAGAATTAACTTATGAATCTCAGCAATGGTGACAAACAGATCACCCAAGCTCATTATTTATTCATGCAGCAATGCATGATGGGAGCCATGAATGAGATTTGATTGGTGGCAGCCAGAATGCACTGCAACATGCTTTATAAGTTTAAACATTGTTGAGATTCACAGGCTGATTCTTGATGTCTGTGTTTGCCTACATATTTTTTTTTTATTTTATTTTAGAAGTTCCTTTGTTTACTTTTTATTGATTTGATCATTTTGATTTCATTGAAAAGGCTAAAAAAGCTATTTTCTACAATGGTAGTACTGCTACAATCCATAAGGTAAACTTAATTCACAAATTTCGTTCTAAATGATTGTGTTTAAAACACAACCAATACCATCAGATCACCTGTTCTATTTGATCATCTGGCTGTTATAACTCAAGTACAGCAGCCAAACATAATCTAAAGTTAATAATGTGAGGGTCAGGAGCCCAACTAAACCAAAACACTGATCACCATAATGGTGACCTAATATTATTTTTTCTTCTCCTTCAGTGATTCTGCTTGTTAACACCAGGTGTCTTCAATAATGCTCAATCTTCACTAAATTATTTACTTAATTATCTCATTAACTTTAACACTGTTTCAGTGTTCATTTAACACTCTGCTCAGAGTTGAATTGGGTTGCTTAAAATGACTTAATTCCATGATGTTGAAGTTACATGAACAAATTATGTTTGTTTAACGTAACCCAGTTATGTGGAACCTGTGGACATAAAAAAAGTTATTTAAAGCCAAGATATCAGAACCTGTTGACATTAAGTTAATTAAAGCCAACATGTCATTTTTTTGAGTGTACCTCCCTTTTTATTTTCTTCCCCTCCTTCCTACCTACCAACCACCCTTCTTATTTGTCTGTTGCACACGCACATTTTTATTTCATGACCATGCTCATTCTTTCAGCATGGTCATGAAATAAAAACGTGCTTGTTTGATAATTCATAATTTGGTTTGAAATAGGTTTCCTAACAGTTACCACTTTTTGTTCTTCTCACTTCATTTTCATTGTTGCCTTATTTTGCTCTTCTTATAGAATCCTGTAGTGGTTCAGAGGCATTTTGTTCTTGTTTTTTTGAGTTACCACACTCGCAGCACAAATATTTTATTCCCATCGTGTGAATAGACTTTGGCCGTGCTGGCATGCCATCCCATGTGCTCATTATAAAAAGCAGCACCTTAATCTTATGGGTCTGCGGCCTCCAAGTTTTTTTAGGTTTATGCTGGGGCGTTATAAGTGTTGTACGTGCTTTCTGCTGAGAATTCTTCTAAGGTCTGTCTGCTGCTGCTTTACAAAATGCCCCAATAAATGTGCTTGAGCGTTGAGGAATTTGAAACGTTTTATGCTCTAAAAAAATCTCACCTAGCAGATAAGTTCACTGACAGGTTTTTATCTTTTTTTTTAAGGCTTTGTACCTTTTTTTTCCCTGAGAATCCTAATCTTGAGGTCACAGGAACACCTAAGCAAGCTTTTGTTTATGCATGACTCAAAGACATGCCGCAAACAGCGACTTGAAGATGCTGTTTGAACTTAAATTAGAGCTTATAAAGCTAGCTGTGGCTTTCGTGGCTTAAGTCCTAGAAAATCTCCATTTGGCTCTTCCTCGTCTGTGAGTGTGCCCAGTACCTGACCTCACCATGTATTACGTGCATTTTGTTAAGTCTCCAAAGAGCACCAGACTTGGCAGATGTACTGAAGAGCACTCCCTCACGTTCCCACTCAGCGTCTCAGAGATCGCGAGCCACCCCACCCTGACACTGCTTCTTCTGGATCCTCAGCTAAAGATGCTGTAATTAAATGTTGGGTCCCTCAGAAGATTTCCACGTTTTTGGCGAGTAAGGGAAAGGCAGATTACAATTATAGCTGCGCCCCAGAGGCTGCTGTGTCAGCAGGACACAATCTGTCACCGAGGAAACTGCAACACTTAAACCACAATAAGGATCAAATATCTTTAGACGAGCATCTCAAGAAATGAAATACAATGTTTTAATGGTTTGGATTCTGTGCTTTCAGTCTAAAGCAGTGCCCCAGTCAGACTGTGTTCAGAAAGAAAAATCACCTTCTATATTTATGGAGTTTGTACTGTAATATTTGTCTCAGTGTCAATTAATTTCAGGATTTAAACTTATTTTAAACTAATTGTCAGTGCATTGAGAATCACCTTTGAGGGTCAAGCACAGCGGTGTTGTGGTGTGAGAGACTTTTCACTATTTTCAATATTCATATGTTGTATTTTATCACATACATTGCACAGGATGAGGCACAATTATTTTTCTTCTAATCAAAGGCGATGGCCAAATGTATGACCTGCACTTTGGAAATAATTGCTAGTTTTCATGTTTTACACAAGTTTTACACTTTTTATATATATAAAAGTGGATTTTTAAGAACAATCAACCCTGGGGACATAAAAGTGGCTGGTGTTATAGAAACCTTTTCATGAAAACATGCGTCCATGTATTCCCAGACAGCAAACTGACATTGAATCAACATGGAAACAACGTCTCTCATGACATTGAAACAACGTTGATTTGCTCATCGAATTAACGTTGAACCAACGTCAGACGCGGCATTCTTCAAAGCTAAATGAAATCGAAAATTAGTTTGCTTTCATAACGTTGAAACAACGCGTTGATTTCATGTTGATTTTCCGTTAGTTTTGAAAGAATGACGCGTCTGACGTTGGTTCAACGTTAATTCGATGAGCAAAACAATGTCAGATCAACGTTGTTTCGATGTCATATTTCCACGTTGATTCAATGTCAGTTTGCTATCTGGGTTGTTTTATATCATGACTGTAGAGATTGGTCTTTAATTATTTGAGTGCCCTATTGCTTAAATAAATGCTTAAACAGCATTTCTAATATGGAGAGAGAGAGAGAGAGAGAGAGAGAGAGAGAGAGAGAGAGAGAGAGAGAGAGTTTTGTGTGTATGTGTATAGACTAATGCTTAAAACAGTGGCATGATTGTTGTCTCCAAACAGACCAGTTCTCTCTATCATTAAGTTTTCTTGGTTCAGCAGTAAACCAAGGGTGGAACTCTTGGGCTAATTACATGAGCAGGTGGGTATTTCAGTGCCAGCCACTGTAAGACTGAATATGTATATTAGTTATTGTAAAGTGTCTCTTCATGTTCAGAGAACTACATCTTATAGCCTATATAAAAGCACAACGTATCATATAAATAATATGAAATTGTTTATGTGAATTCCAGCTGTAAATGATCATTTTTGAGATTTACGAGTTACTAGAATGTTACTCTGCTACAGAATGTCATGTGGTAGAAACATCCAGAATATTTGATGAGGTCATTAAACTGGAGATTCCACACAGCAGTTGACATGTTTCTTTTCTGTTGACTGATATTATCTCTCTAGTTTTATTCGTTAAGACGCTTCTGTCAGGAAAACGAGTTTATTAAATCTGTATTGAATTTACATATTTTGAAAGTCCGCATTAAAGTAGATATTTGATAAACTATTTTGTGTGTGTAGTCAGAAAAACAGATTCAGCTAAATCAGAGTGAAATACTTTGGGTTTTGCCAGCACAAATCTTTAATAGCTACCACATTTAGTTGGACAGACGGTGTATGATGACAGTGATTATATAATGTGTCACTGTGATGACAGGTGCATTAGAGGGCAGGTGTTCATTAGTGGATCTCTCTCTCTCTCTCTCTCTCTCTCTCTCTCTCTCTCTCTCTCTCTCTCTCTCTCTCTCTCTTGCTCTCTCGAGTTTGTCTCAGTTTGTTTTTTGGGAAGTCTTACTGTGCCCATTCCGGGATACCAACACACCAGTGGAAATATCTGTTTATAGAATGTACATATTTCAAAGCCAGTTTAGTGGTAGATTAAGTTAAAACATATGTTCTTTGATGTCTGTTTCTGTGGGCCATACATTTTATTATTATAACAGCAATGTAAACAGATGAATCTTTATTTGAAAGTGATTTGAATAAAGACACATTGGTAATGAACCGGTCAAGACTTGGAATAGGCCTATGTGAGGTTTTACTCACTAAAACGGTCTCTTAACGGCAAAATCTCATGTGGTTTATGGCTTTCTGTACATTTATTGTGCCTTATTTCCAGTGATGTTTTATATTATTAAAGGAGTAGTTCACTTTAAAAAAAAAAAAACAACAACAACAACAACAAAAAAACTTTTGCTGATAATTTACTCACCCCCATGTCATCCAAGATGTCCATATCATTCTTTCTTAAGTCGAAAATAAATTAAGGTTTTTGATGAAAACATTCCAGCATTTTTCTCCATATAATGGACTTTAATGGTAACCAAACGGTTCAAGGTCCAAAAGACAACGATTCCAGACGAGGGTCTTATCAAGCGAAACGATTGCTCATTTAATAAATAAATAACAAAGTTTAAGTTTTATAAGCTCAAATGGTTCTTTTCGACTGAAGAAAGAAAGACATGGACATCTCGGATGACATGGGGGTGAGTAAATTATCAGCAAACGTTTTTTGAAAAGTGAACTACACCTTTAATAATATGTTCATATTATTAACAGCATCATGAATTGCATCACTTGTCAGATTTTTTTTCAACATTTCTTTTTCCATTTACAGAAAAATATGGGATACAAAGGTCAAGGATTCAACAACAAGGTGAATTCAGTTTACTCTTCTTTGCCGAATATCATATGCACACTAAAGTGTATTTATTTACATCTGAACAATGTTGTCTCCTAGATTGAGTCAGATGACCAAGAAGAAGGGATTCTGGGTTGAGAAAGTACATTGTCTGGGTACAGAGCCCAGCCTAGTGGATTGTCATGCCCAGCTGTCAATCCCGCGAAGCCCCGTCCCCTGTAAGAACGGTCGCCATGCTGTGGCCCGCTGTGTCCCAGGACCGCAATTTGCTCGTATGTCCTCTGGCAGACCCCAGGCACCTCACCCTGTGCAGGTAACCCTTGAAACATTTAGACTTTTCAGACTGCCAGCATTTTTTTTTTTTTTTTTGCATATCCAGATTTTATCTAGATCTTGACAGGAAAATAAACCCACATGAAATCTGAATTTTTCAATCCTTATTCAAACAACATTTGGAGGTGGTTTGAAATGTGATTTCAATCAGAGTTTTACAGAATGCGTCTCAGTCTGGACACTCAAATCGGATTTCAAATTGTTTCCCTTGTTGCACAAGAAAACTCAGCAATGGTAGAGACTAGTATATATTGTGATTCAAGTCTGCACCACAACTCGACAGGGCACTTATTTGAAGAGTGAGATGATGCACCTCCATGTTTTCCAGCATCCGTTTTGAAAGCCTATGTCGTTACCAAAGCATCCTATGCAGATAGGTTGGTAATGTCTGGACAAAGACATCTTATTTGATCACTTAAAATGAATAGTGCGGACAGTCTGCCTAAAAAGATGCATGCAGTCTGAACATACCCTTTGTTATTTATTTTAGATTAATTGACTGGCTGTTATTGACCAGCTATTTGATGTTTAGTGTATAATATTAAATAGTTTTAAAATGAAAAATGTATATGTTTTTATCTTTGTATAATCAATAAAAAATATATGTTTTTAATGTTTGTATCAGAATAACCAATTTGTCCACACTCATCATCATTACATTTGAATGGTTATACTGAATACAAACTCAAAAACAACAACAAAAAAATAATACTAATATCTAATTTGACCCTCATTATGCTGTTGTTATTATTATTATTAACAAAATATATTAAGGTTTCCACTAAAATATTAAGCAGCAAAACTGTTTTCGATGTTGATAATAAGAAATTGTATTTGAGAAAAAAAGCAGCATATTAGAATGATTTCTGAAGGATCATGTGACATGTTTTAAAAACGTACAGTTGCAATGTACCATTTCGTCATGGGTTGTAAACAGATATTTAGGGTTGGAGCTCTTAAAATTAACCATTAAAAAAAAAAAAAAAAAAAAACACACACATTTGTTGCCCACTAATCTGAAGCTTTGGGAAGGCAGTCCCACTGGTGGTCCTCAAACGTCAAATGTGGTTATAATAACCGTGGTACTTTGGGATTGAGGTGGTAAAATATGATTTCCTGAAAGTAACCTTGTTAATCTGTTTTCTCCTCTCATAGCTGTCAGTGCGCCTGAAGTCAGGGCCACGTCTGGGAGAAGGCAGAGTGGAGGTTCTGCGCGAGGGGAAGTGGGGAACTGTGGTTGACCACCGGTGGGACCGTATCTCAGCCAGCGTGGTGTGCAGAGAGCTGGGCTTCGGCTCTGCCAAAGAGGCTCTTTCCGGAGCATACATGGGTCAAGGTGAGAAAGCTTAAAAAAATAGTTGGCCCAAAAAACACCCCACGATTTGTTATTATTTACTCACCCTCATTCTGATCCCAGTTGGAACTACTTGAGGGTATAAGTAAATGACAGATTTTTCATTTTTGGATGAACTATTCCTTTTTACTCTGCCAATACGGTGTTTTTGGGAAGAAGGTGATTCATAACTACAAACATGGTTATTATACTGAGTGTGGCACATGATTCCAACAAAGTCTGAGTCTGAGCTTAATTGGAAAGCTCTGCTTATCTGTGGGATACGCCTGTCTGCAGCTGAATATAAAAGCGGTCTATGACGTGACATGATGTCTTATGCAAAATCACACTCGATGTACTGTATTCTTTAAGCCAAGGAACTTTCCCTGAACTTTCCCTGCCTCAGATCCACACTGCATGTGAGTTTATTTAAGCTGACTGAGACTGTATTCCGAGCGGCATCTTCTCTCTTTGGCAGAGCAATTATCTCATCCGGTCAGAGTGAAGCCATGACAGTAGCAATTTGTTGAAGACTTCCAGATATCACACTGATTAAAAACACAGCCACTAACGTTGTGTAGATTTTTATTTTATTTTATTTTTTTTAAAGGAAGTGAAATGACGTTTGACTCATAATGCTGTTTTATCAGGTGCTACCATTCAAAGAGCTAAAATGAGGAAATGTTGATTTATGGATTATGATAATTTTAGGGGGTCTGTTACTTTAAAATATAAGGTGTTATGCACCAGTAGTGACTCATATGAAAGTGCAGACTTGAAATGAACCTGTCTAAGGTTGACTACTTTCATCTAATGAAAATAATCTAATCAAGGTTTTAATTTAACACTCCCTGAGTGCCAAATTCTGTAAGTACAAATAGGCAGGCTATGAATTTTTTTTTTTTTTTACATATGTTTGTACAACAAATGTGGCAACTTTAAAATTAAATTCAAAGCAACCAGTTAAGTACCTGTTAAGTGGTACCACTTTAGGCTTATTTTTACACATGGATGGAATATTTCTTGCAGCACCCTTACAAAAAATAAGTATACTTCAAGTTCATTTTATTAAGTATATTTAAGTAAAGTTCAAGTACATTTTAAGTATATTTTATGTAGTAAGTATACCAATGTCAATGTACTAGAAGTATTATTGTAAGTGTACTGTTTCATTTCTACTTGGGACTAAATTGGCCCACTTTTTAGAGTATAAACTATACTTTTAAGTAGTAAATGTTGAGTACACATAGTTTACAACTACGTTTTTCGTTTGTGAACTTATAATACTGATAGTTTAAATACTTGTAACACACTTTTTAGTTTATGAAAGTAAACTTTGAGGTATACTCTCAGTAAACTACTGTAGTTTAGTATACTGCAAGTGTAATTAAAGTGCAAGTTTACTTATAGTTGACTATTTATATATTATTTTTTGGCACTGAATGAGTATACTACTATGTTCCTATTCGTATTCATTTTTTTACTTGAAATTTACTTGATGTTTTTAACCATACTTTAAGAAGATCTGAAGGACATTTCTATGCACGCTACCACTGGAATACACAAAAATCCACATACTCCGAATTAAGAACATGTTTTATTTTGTTAAAAATATTGATTTATAATGTAAGAGACAGTATATACTGTACGAACAAAGTATTAGGCTACTCAATCATAAGAGTAAACACAACTACAAGCCAATACTTAGAAAACTTAAATTATACTTTTGTGTATTTCTTGATCAAAAGATTGAGTAAAAGTAGAGGCCAAATATCAAATTCTATAACGCACAAAGAAAAACAGGTAAATCTCATTGTCATTGAGACAAAAATACAAAAAAAATATATATGTAAATTATGGTTTAATGTTGGTTAATAAATATTTTTGGTTAAACTTTCATAATCACCCTTCATCGGCAGGTGTGGCATAAAAAGAAGCTATTTTAGAAAGTGACCACACTTGCTGATTTTTGAATTCACCCATTCGGATGTAAGACTACTTTGGATCAAAGCTTATGATTTCTGTCCATCTATAACAAGGTCCAGGTCTTTAGGTATTTAGATCTCATGTATAATTTGCCCAGTGCAGCCGAGGCCACAAAAACATATAGTGAGTGAAAAGAGACACAAATTAGTGTGTCAATGACAGAACAGAGCTGGACTGTTTGGGACAGGCAGTAAAAATAGGAAATCTGTTGAGATGGGCTACATGTACCAGACTGTGGTTACCACATTTAGAAATGATCCTGAATAATGGTGTTGGTACAGTGGTTATTGCACTGCCAGATTTTCCAGACATTTAATATAACACAAAGGGATAGTGCACCCCAAAATGAAAATTCTGTCATCATTTACATCATTTTGGGGTGAACTAGCCTATCCCTTTAATGTGCTTAGTGGTGGAAACAAGTTTGAAAATTCAATGTCATTGTTGCTGCATTGTGGAGCACATTCTTACTGTGGATTTTTTTTTGGTTTGTTTTTGTTGTTCAAAAATAGTTTTTTTTTTTTTTTGCTTGAGTTAGCATGAACATGTATGAGGCGTTCTCTAAGTCTGACCTCCCAGTATGAAGTAAGTAAGTGTTTCTGAAGTCCCTCGATGACTTCAAGCTATAAGATTAGTTTGAATGCAGTATTAGCTGGTTTTACTTCAGTCAGACACTATAGACAAGGAATTTAAAGTCACGTTCGCCGGTTCATCTCTTGCTTTACTGGCAAAACGTACAGTATAAGGTGAGAATATATTTTAGTATGCAGTACACACTGAGTTTTTCCTCTGGCTTTGAAGAGATATTTCTTATATAGCAATTTAATCTGCTCTTAAAATAGGGATTATAGACATTCCATGAAAGGAAAACACCATTAATGCGGAAAATATTTTGTTTTATTTTAGGGAGAAGAAAATGTCCATTTTCTGTAAACCACACTCTAGTGAAACTATTCACAGAACCACTCCCTTTCCTTCAGCCACTTCTGAAATACTTGCTTATTTACTTGCTATTTTGTGCATATACGGTTTTATATTTATGCTAAGATATATATTTAATATATAATTCATTTCAGCAAGGTAGCATTCAATTTATTAAAAGTAACCATAAACCCAATCACAGTAGGCCTATAATGTTCATACATTATTTATTTTTTTTAAATGTCCACATAAATATTTTGTTTTTTCAGCACTAGTAATAACAACAATAAATGTATAATAATAACAATAAGAGTAATAATAACAATAAATGTATTTTGAGCACTAATATGATTTCTGAAAGATCATGTGACACTGAAGACTGGTGTAATGATGCTGGAAATTAATCTTTCCATCAGATGCATAAATTAAAATATATATATATATAATACAATATTACTGTTTATTATTATTATTATTATTATTATTATTATTTATTAAACAAATGCAGCCAGTAAGAATTAGAGGCTTACTTCAAAAACATTAATAACAATAGTAACCCCAAATTTTTATGATATTTTTATCTATATTTATATAGTAGCACATGCCACAAAGATAAAGTTTTTATTGGGCCATTTGAGTCCAAATTATGATGTCATCGAACAAGAGAACAATAATTAGACATCTCTTTCGTTTCTTCTTTTTTTTTTCTCTAGTCGATCAATGGGTTTTTCAATGACTCTTAACTTTTACTTTTGGTCTCCACTCTTTGCTTAAATCCATGATTATATATAATAGTCTCTGGGTGGGAACATTTCCATATTAATCCTCATGGTTTTAGCCAATCTCTAGCAATTAGCTTCAGAAGCGAGGCCAAATCGGATGCTGTGTTTGCTTTTGTGCTCTATCATTTTTGCTTCGAAACTAAACAGCTGGTCATTATTTCATTGCTCTGTTAGAAATCGGTCTTTTTTGATCAGTGCGATCACCAAACTTAGCCGGGAGCAGCGCAATAGCACATAATCACTGTTTTTCCACAGCAGTTTATACAGCTCTCTACTTCATTTACCCTGATTTTCCCCAGCATGCATTTCTGAGATGGGGGAAAAAAATGATATAAATACTCTTACACTAATGTTGCTCGGGTTTATTTATGCTGCGGATTTCACATCCTTGTGAGATTCATATCTGGAGTTTTAGCACACTGCTCACGTTGGACTCCGATGTTTTGACGTCATCTGATGCTTTTTATCTCCATAGAACCTCAAGAATGTGATGATAATGATTTCACATGAACAAATCCACTCCTCTGTATCTGATCAGACTCATGTGTGGCCGTCTGGTGTGCGAGGAGTTTTTCTTTAACACCACACATCTTTTAGAATTTAGAATGTCCCGTCCCCGTTTTGGGGAAAGATACTCCCTAAAAAAGTATCTAATTGCGTTACTTGGTTACTTTTGCATCATCTTTTCTCATCTTTCTCATTTCAAAAGTGAAAAGCCTCAGGTTGAAGGAAATGTAATTTCATGTCTGTACAGGCTCGGCTCAAACAAACCGCTCAGCTGTGCTGCCATTCTGGATTGCAGGAGAAAGTTGGACACTTACCTCAACCATTAAAATAATAATAAATGAAACACAAATTATGTTTATCAAAAATAATTTTTACTTATTAGTGTTAGTATTGAATCATCGAAGGTCAGCAGCAGAGACATTGAGATAAATTGAGATTAAATATATATAACGTACCCTATATTTTTGTTATTAACATTTCATTATTGCAGGTTGGCAGAGTTGGCATTGGGACAGGAGAGGTGTGTGTTTATAAATTGGAAAACAAAGTAACATGCGTAATAAGTAACTCAGATATTTTATTGTAAATTTAAAAGTAATGTGTTACTTTACTAGTTATTGAGGGAATGCGCGTGACGTCACCGTCGGCCGGAGTGCCTGCAGTTATTCACAGTGAGAGGCAAAAAGACTGAGCGGCTGTATTTGTTTACAGTGTGAATGCAGCGAAAAACAAACACAACACTTATAAAGTGGGAAAGCGTTTTGCGATTGACTGTACAACTAGATTTGACAAAAAATCTGAGGTATATTTTTACAGACTGCAATAGAAAGAGGAGCAAATGGATCAGATGGAGAAACAACTGGACTCCAGTCAGCGAAAGGTGGATTTGCAGTTGTCATTTTGTGTCCATACCAATATATTTTGTATTGTTATATATAATAACAAGTCACCAATTAAATATTTATCATTGCATATTCTGCATTATTGGATGTTTTTTAATAAACACTGACCAAAAAAAATAAATAAATCTATAAAGTTTTAGGGCTGGACAATATGATGATCTACAGGGGTTGGACAAAAAAACTGAAACACCTGGTTTTACTACACAATAATTTGTTAGAATGGTGAGGGCCTCATTTTGCATCCAAATACAGCACCAATTGACAGATAGAAGTCCTTCACAGTGACCAGAGGGATTATGAGCCGTTCCTCTTCCAGAACAGTGTCCAGGTCACTATATGATGCTGGTGGACTCGCTCCTCCAAAACACCTCAATAATATTCAGATCTGGTGACTGTGCAGACCATGGGAGATGTTCAACGTCACTTTCATCTTCATCAAACCCTTCTGTCACAAGTCTTGCTGTGTGTGTTGGTCAGTGTTGTGCAAGTTACTTCCAAACTGTAATACATTAGGTATTACTTGTTACTGTTATTTAAAAGTAATTCATTACCTTACAATATTACTGTCTCAGAATTGTAATGAGTTACATTACTCATGTATTACTTTTGAGTTACTTTCACCAAAATAACTAAGTAGAACTTAACTTTTGGGCTGTAACGATATGCAATATGAAAGCGAAATCGCGATTCGCCACACGACTCAGATCCACGAACCTACAGAATCGCGACACACCTCTTCCAACTCCAGCGTTATTCTCCTTACCGTCCTGCCTTATCTTTAAATTAGGCTATTAGTATTATTTGAAGTTAACATTATAAAATAGGCAACGTAGACCTACACCACAAAACTAGTTGAGGATAAATTATTTAAAATTGGGGAAGTCCAGCATTATGGACATGACATTTGCAGTCAAAACTTGAAATAAAAATTCTCAGAAAATACATTGAAACGTATATAGGCTACTTCCTTAAAGGACTCCAGACATTAGACAAATATCAGTCTATGTTTTATTTTTAATATTAGGGAAAAGACAAACATTCACGCGTGACAAAAAAAAATAGGAGGCAAAATATATTTTTTGTCATTCTGTTAATTACACTGCGCACATCGGATGAGGAAGGGCTGGCTCTCCAGTCTCCATGGAACTCAAAATATTCATTTTATTTTAGTTTTCTTGTTCGCATTTATGAGGAAAAAACAATGTTACAGACGCGACCGCTCTGAACAGGCACTAAAAGACTGCTTTAAAACTTTCACATAGTCTGTTGCGTTTAAGAAGTAAAAGCAGACAATACACTGTAATACAACTGTAATACAAGCCTCACTGAACATGTAACGAGTAAAATATTACTGAAAATTGATTAGTAATGCCTTACACTACTGCGTTACATCAAAAAGTAATATGTTACTGTAATGTATTACTTTTGTAATGCGTTACTCCCAACACTGGTGTTGGTGCATGATCATGCTGATACACGGTTTGAGCATCAGGTGCTCATGATCCTCCAGAAGGGTTTGGTAGTCCTCGGCAGTGTCGTGTCCATCAAATACAATCAGGATTGTCATGATATTGGAGCTCAAACCATCACTGATCCACCCGTGACTCACTCTGAAGATTGGCCGCCAGGCATATAGATGTGAAACCTCCAACATTGGCCAGTGTTTCAGTTTCATTGTCCAACCCCTGTATATAGGCTATATATAACACTATAAGTGATCACCCAGATTTAGACCTATCTATATTGTATTTATATAAAGCGTTCACAGGCAAATTTTCTTTATGTTTAGGTCTATATTGCTTTTATTTCCCCAGTGTCAAAATCAGGCAAACATAAATGTAAGGCAACACGATTCCTGGCTGCATGTCAATATCCATGGATCACTGGATCTTTAGTAAGTTGTAAGGAACACTATATTGAGTCCATGATAAAATTGTTCGTTTTAGTCGCATTTTCGCAGTTTCCTCTATTAAATCCAGTCACGCAGCAGATCTTTTGCCACTCAGTCAGGCTGAGGGGGGTTGTTCCGGCAGGAAAGTGACAACAATTCATTCCCTCTATTTGAAAGTAATCTGATTACATAATCAGATTACTCGCATTACTTGTAATGCATTACCCCCAACACTGCTCATAAGAAGGAATCCATTTACGACATGGTTTTCGGTAATAATTAATCGATATTATTCTTACATGGGCTGGATGAGTTATGACGATGCAAAGCTTATTTATCTGCCATGTTTATAACAATGAATAGTTTGAGAAAGTGACAAATGGCAGCAGTTGGTCAGTCATTTTTTTAAGGCAATTTCTGGAAATGGTCGGTTAGAAAGTGTCTAGTTTTCTCTGTGGCAGAAAGAACTCAAACAGACTTGGTGTTTGTTATTTTGTTTTATATTTGAGACTTTTAACTAGCGATTCCCCAGTGACATTTACTGTTTGTTTGTTCTACAGGGACGGGGCCAATCCACATGAACTCTGTGCAGTGCACTGGCACAGAGCGCTCTATTTTGGATTGTTTTTTCCAAGAAGTCCCTCCCTGGACATTCAAACACACCCAGGATGCTTCTGTCAAGTGCTACGTTCCTAAGACAGGCGTTGACACCACGGTGAGCAAAAAACGATCACAGGTTACTTTGATATTTTTCAGATAGCTCATAACAGTCATGTTATCTGCACGGTTAGTCCCTCGAAATATTTGGACACTTAAAGTGTAGCTTTGTAGATTTTCAACCCGCTTTGTATTGTTACAATGTCGGTTGATAGTATACATACAGTATGTAAATGAATAATGATGACTTCTCCATGTTACCTGGAGAGAGTAATTCACGTTTATTTGCTATTAGCAAAAGGACTTTTTACAGAGCCAGAGCTTTTGTGAAAACTACAGATTATTCTTCTGGATTATTTGCATACCTGGCCATAGACAGTCTTCAACATATGGTTAACAAATTAACAAAACCAAAACTACTCTTTATTGTATTGTCTTACATTATGCCGCATTATGGTAAAAAATAGCTTTATTACCTGTACGAGACAGCGTTTTGGCTTGATGGGTTGGGCGTTCTTTCATTTTTTTCCCCCTCCTTTCATGCTCATCAAGTTTGAAATGTTGACTACAAACATTGAGGCTTTACAAATTTTCCGTTGTGTCGTTCTCTCCATATTTACGATTCTTTGCAGCCTAAAATTAGCCACGGTCTACAAGACGCTGGATCTTTCACTGGAAACTGAATATAACTCACTCCTACTAAATGTTTACTCTTTGAATTCTTGCATCCAGGAGCAATACAAGTCAAGTGACTAAAAGATTGCTAAAATGTATTTCCTACTAAAGTAAAGTGGTATTTGACTCTCAGAAGCAAATTCATAGCACATTGGTGGGAGTGGCCTTGGTCGCCAACATGCCCAGTGCATTATGGATGTTAAAAGTTTCCTTTGCTATACGGCAAAAGTGAAGACAACAGCACTTTAATTTATCTATTTTCTATAGTCAGTAAGAACTAATAATAATAATAATAATAATAATAAAAATCACCTTTCTGCTGCATAGGCAACACATTTTTATTTAAAGCTGATTTTGCCAGTGGTGAAGCACCCTTTTTAGCCACAGTTAAAATGTTTTTGCGTTATATAATCCACAAATATACATTATTTAAAATGTCTTTGCATTTAGTGCATTAAATGACATTTACTTTAAACAAATATACAGATTTTGCTATTTTATATTATGTATTATATGTTAGTTATTCATTCCTGTATCTCAAACAGTAGAGCATGGCGCTGGCAACTCTAAGGTCATGGGTTCGTCTCCCAGGGAATACACAAACTGATAAATAGATATGCTTTTAATGAAAGTTTCTCCCAAATGCTACATGTAAATATGTACATTTAAATGCATTATGGCATTTATTTTAAATATACACTCTCAACCCACTAAATATTACCTAGGAAAGTTAAGTTAGTTCTGAGAAAAGTTTGTTTGCAAAAGTGTTTGTATATTATTTGAGGCCACTGTATGTAGGTTTCACTCCTGTGAGCATGTTTGTGTTTCAGGTGCGGTTGGCAGGCGGCAGGGATTCGGCTGAGGGTCGTGTGGAGGTGCTCATGGAGGTGGGGGGCAGGAAGCGTTGGGGGACGATTTGCAGTGAAAACTGGGGAATAAATGAAGCTATGGTGGTGTGCAGGCAACTGGGCTTTGGTTTCGCCGCACGTGCCCATCAGGTGAGGCTGCTGAAGAATGTTGTGTTTTCCAGGAATCGCTCTTAATATGTTGATTTGGTTGCGTCAGTCTGTGTGCATTTGAGAGCTTCCTGTGCATGTTTAGGGGTTGGGATACTTCTGGGAAACTTCTGTATAAGTGTTATTTATTATAAGGGTTATTTATATTCATTTTCAGCATTCACTTCATTAAAAATCTGAAGTGTAATTGAAATCATGTAATCTTTCTTCCCCCAAAGAATCTGCATTAAATACATTCAGGATTAGTGTGTGTTTTCTGCATAATTTATACTATATTTTGGTGGAGAATTGGACAATTAATGCACTTTTTTCTTGCAAAAAATTGAAGAAGGGTAAAATTTCTGGTAATAAGGAATAATGACTAAGTTCTGGATCCATAAATAAGTAGCTTAACATCATCATGTAGATTTTAAGTTAATTAATATAGGTGTGTGTGTATCCTAAGTCTTGTTCATTCTTTCATTTTCTTTTGTTTGTCTTGTTGGCTTCACCTTGTTACTCCACTTAACTAGTAAATGCTGCATACATACAGAATAATCATATTAATTAAGTACAAATGAAGAGTTCAGATGCAAAAGCCTCTAAATGCCATTTGAAATTTTCTTCTTTAATGATGATTTTTATCAAACTTGTATATTTAAGTTCAGTAATTTCACTTAAATGGCAATGATAGTTACCTATTAATTGTTATTTAAGTGAAATTACTGAACCTAAATATACAAGTTTGATAAAAATCATCATTAAAGAAGAAAATTTCAAATGGCATTTAGAGGGTTTTGCATCTGAACTCTTCAAATCATAATTAGGTATAAATAAGTACTGTAGGAAGTACTGAATTAAAATAGTTAAGATTATTTATATCTTGTGAAACTAGAGGGCATATCATCTTCCCAAAAGTATTTCATGTCAACTACCTACCTATACTTAATGACTTCCATATGCAGACAAATAAGAATAGGCCTTTCTGTGCGTAGGACACATATTATTGGCAAGGAGACCCTTCGGCAGAAGTAGTGATATTGAGTGGGACTCACTGTGTGGGAACAGAAATGTCCATCCAGCAGTGCCGTCGGAATAATCACGTCCACTGCCCTCGAGGAGGCGGGGCTAAAGCAGCAGGTGTCACCTGTTCTGAAAGTAAGTGATTGGAATGACACAATCTGATGCATATTATAATTTTATCTGCACTGAATGATCCCAATGAGTGAATCAACATCTTGTTTTAGCGGCACCTGACCTGGTTTTGGATGCACAGCTCGTGCAGGAGAGCGCTTACCTGGAAGACAGGCCTCTGCACCTGCTCACCTGTGCTCATGAGGAGAACTGTCTGTCCTCCTCTGCCAGCCGTATGCAGTGGCCCTACGGACACCGCCGGCTTCTGCGTTTCTCCTCTCGTATCATGAACTTGGGCAGAGCCGACTTCCGTCCACGCTCCTCAAGAGAGTCCTGGACCTGGCACCAGTGCCACAGGTGAGGGTTTCCTTCTTTCTTCTGTTTTAATGTCTAGACAGAATGAAACAGAAGCCTGAGAGCTGCTGGGAAAACATAGTTTGGTCATCTTGTTTTATAAAAAGCTCCCCTTGCTGAGAATACAGTGTGATGCATAAAGGAAACTGGACCCCAAGACCACGAAACATTTGCACAGATGTGCAACATCTATTTTTTTTATTTTCTTATTAGTTATTTTTTCTTTTCTGTCTATCTGTTATTTTTATATTGTTTTTGTTGCATATTCTTTTAAACAGTTAAAGGGTAATTCCACCGGTGGAGACATGACTATGTCTAATTTGGGTCCTACTTGGCCGATAAAAGGCAGAAAATGACTTTTTTTAGTGCTTGTGGATTGTATTGCCAATGGATTGGAGTGATTCTATATGGGCTTCAGACAATCGCCACATTACTCTGACGTGTAATTTTACACGTGAAATGCAGCCAAACCTTGGAGCGTTTTGTCTTCGGCGTCTTCATTAAAGGGTAACTAAACCCCTGGTCAGAGCCTGACTCCACCCACTAGCAATATTTGAAAAATGCTGAAAAAATGGGCAGACCCCAGCGGGGCTAGGGGGCGTGCACCTGAGACCCGCCGTGAGTGACAGTTGCTGTCAGACTCTAAAATAGAGCGAGACTAGTCTGGAGTGACTCAATAGCTGCCTTTGCAACAGAGCGGCCATTTGAAGTCGAGGACTTTTCTCCCTCACCTTCACCTTCACCTGAAGTGGATGAGGGTGAATTGTATGTACACAGGGCCAAATCCATTCGAGCTGCTGGCTCAAACTGCGGTCTTAACTCCCGCATCGCGACCGGCATCTGATGAGTTATGTCGTCGAGTTGATCTCAATAGCGCACGCTATTGATATTATGCCGCTATGTGAAAAAATCCAGCAAAATGCACCGGCTCGTTTGTCGACCCTAGAGGATTAACTTTATCCTAACTAGGGTTGTAACGGTATACCGGTATGACGGTTTATCGCGATATTGACATGTACGATTATCATATCGTGCACATTTGCTTATCCGCGGTAAAAAAAAAACTAAAAAAAAAAACAGAATTCACCTGCACTGCCGCATGCAACTTCTTTCAGCTTGACTGCTTACTCCATATCCGTACAGCGCTCAAAATGTCCGAGACAGAGGCTGCGAATCTCTATCTCCCGCCAAAAAAAAAAAATAAAATCTGCAGTATGGGAATATTTTGTAACTTATATCCGAAAAACGATCGTGATGTTGTCTTGAAGATGGATATCCAGTTTGCAAGATATGTGGACGAAGAGTGGCTGCAAAAGGAGTAAACACGTCGAACATGTTCTCCCATATTTAGGAACACCATCCCTCCTTGAAGATAAAGGTTATTCATAACTTTTATAACTTAAGGCCATATTATTTCTGTCATGCTGAGGGAATCCCGGTCTGTCAAAAAGACGCACACATGCGTCTTTTTGCGTTACAAACAGATGCCACGTAAAATGTGCGATTTAAAAAGATAGATGGATAAATAAAGCAAAATATAGCTATGCAGTAGCCTAAATCAAATCGCGATGTGCGTGTCTGTGAATATACAACGCAAAAAGACTGGTGTGCAAGCCCCTTCAGCGTGTCTCTGAATGAGCAGCGCCGTTTCGTCTAGTAGATCTAGTAGCCTACACACTCAAGTACGCATGACGCTCATGGTTTTTAAAGCTGTCTCAGCCACTACGAAAACGTGAACACATGAACATATCTAGACAGAGAACACTTAATTTGCACTTTATAATTATTTTTTTTAAAGAATAATCATCAAATACACTGACTGAAACTCATAGGTGTTCAGTAGGTGTTAACGCGGGGTTAAATGTAACACGGACCGTTTACACAGTTCGTCAGGATCAAGCAGGCTGTCTTTCCGCTATTTTTCTCTTGCTGCCAGAAGACGGTCTCCCGCGAATTCGCGGAAAGTTTTGATTATATTTCGTGAAGATACTGGACAAAGAGTGTTTTGACACCATGAAAGTAATTTTTTTCATCATAGGTTTTTTTCGGTTTCTGAGTTGGGTGTATACGTTTCCAAATCTAACTTTATATTGCCTTAATCACCGTCTTGTTGGCTCAAACATAGCACCGTTTTGAAACATGTCAGCAATTCCTAGCGACTGTTAGCTAGGTTTAAAATATTACATACAATATTAAAATATACATTTAACTTTGTTAGACGTTCACAAACAATGTTGGGATTTAAAATGTTTAAAATTTAGTGTTCTATGAATGATAACTTGTTTATTTATTAAAAATATGGCCTGTTATTAATGCAATAAACCCTTTAAATTTTTATTTTAAGCTAATTTGTATTATCATTACTGTTATTATTAATAATAATAATAATTGTACATCATGCAGCTGCCACACACAAATCTAATTTAATTGCAATTACAATATTTATAATTTTTATTTATTATTATTTATTGCAAAGCTATGCAGCCCTTTTCTATGTCTCTATCCATGATATTGATCCATAATGGAAGGATGATTGGATGAGGGATATGTATGGATATCTGTCTATACAGATGCACAAACAATGTCAAACTATACAAATAAAATAGTACTGAATTATGTGTGTTACACACAAGTGTTACAACTAACCCCTCTCTCTGTTACAATTAGTTGTAACTAGGGTTGTAACGGTATACCGGTATGACGGTTTATCGCGATATTGACATGTACGATTATCATATCGTGCACATTTGCTTATCCGCGGTAAAAAAAAAACTAAAAAAAAAAACAGAATTCACCTGCACTGCCGCATGCAACTTCTTTCAGCTTGACTGCTTACTCCATATCCGTACAGCGCTCAAAATGTCCGAGACAGAGGCTGCGAATCTCTATCTCCCGCCAAAAAAAAAAAATAAAATCTGCAGTATGGGAATATTTTGTAACTTATATCCGAAAAACGATCGTGATGTTGTCCTTGAAGATGGATATCCAGTTTGCAAGATATGTGGACGAAGAGTGGCTGCAAAAGGAGTAAACACGTCGAACATGTTCTCCCATATTTAGGAACACCATCCCTCCTTGAAGATAAAGGTTATTCATAACTTTTATAACTTAAGGCCATATTATTTCTGTCATGCTGAGGGAATCCCGGTCTGTCAAAAAGACGCACACATGCGTCTTTTTGCGTTACAAAACAGATGCCACGTAAAATGTGCGATTTAAAAAGATAGATGGATAAATAAAGCAAAATATAGCTATGCAGTAGCCTAAATCAAATCGCGATGTGCGTGTCTGTGAATATACAACGCAAAAAGACTGGTGTGCAAGCCCCTTCAGCGTGTCTCTGAATGAGCAGCGCCGTTTCGTCTAGTAGATCTAGTAGCCTACACACTCAAGTACGCATGACGCTCATGGTTTTTAAAGCTGTCTCAGCCACTACGAAAACGTGAACACATGAACATATCTAGACAGAGAACACTTAATTTGCACTTTATAATTATTTTTTTTAAAGAATAATCATCAAATACACTGACTGAAACTCATAGGTGTTCAGTAGGTGTTAACGCGGGGTTAAATGTAACACGGACCGTTTACACAGTTCGTCAGGATCAAGCAGGCTGTCTTTCCGCTATTTTTCTCTTGCTGCCAGAAGACGGTCTCCCGCGAATTCGCGGAAAGTTTTGATTATATTTCGTGAAGATACTGGACAAAGAGTGTTTTGACACCATGAAAGTAATTTTTTTCATCATAGGTTTTTTTCGGTTTCTGAGTTGGGTGTATACGTTTCCAAATCTAACTTTATATTGCCTTAATCACCGTCTTGTTGGCTCAAACATAGCACCGTTTTGAAACATGTCAGCAATTCCTAGCGACTGTTAGCTAGGTTTAAAATATTACATACAATATTAAAATATACATTTAACTTTGTTAGACGTTCACAAACAATGTTGGGATTTAAAATGTTTAAAATTTAGTGTTCTATGAATGATAACTTGTTTATTTATTAAAAATATGGCCTGTTATTAATGCAATAAACCCTTTAAATTTTTATTTTAAGCTAATTTGTATTATCATTACTGTTATTATTAATAATAATAATAATTGTACATCATGCAGCTGCCACACACAAATCTAATTTAATTGCAATTACAATATTTATAATTTTATTTATTATTATTTATTGCAAAGCTATGCAGCCCTTTTCTATGTCTCTATCCATGATATTGATCCATAATGGAAGGATGATTGGATGAGGGATATGTATGGATATCTGTCTATACAGATGCACAAACAATGTCAAACTATACAAATAAAATAGTACTGAATTATGTGTGTTACACACAAGTGTTACAACTAACCCCTCTCTCTGTTACAATTAGTTGTAACATTTGCACTTCTGTCACTTTCAGTCCAACTGTACGAAAATGGTAGGTCCTAGAAAAAAACTTTAAGTGTTTATTTGTAGCAGAGATGTGCATGTTGCTTGTGTAAAAAAAAGTATTAATCTAACCTAATTATTTTTTAATTAATTGAGCCAAAAGCAAAAAGCGTTAGGTTGTGCCCCGCTCTCCCCTACAACCTGGGAAAAAAAAGTTTGGTTTAGCCTATGATTAAAATATATTACTATTGTGTATAGTTTTTTTGTCCATGTTTTAATTTATTAAACTTCTCTTGTGTAGACAAACTAAAGTTGTTACATTTTATCTGATTGCATTCTCAAAAATACATTTTGTATTCAATCACAGAATCCAGATCAGTTATTTCAGACAACCCAGAATTTCTGAGGAAATAAATATACAATTCATAAGACTCTATTGAAAAAACCTTTGTTACAATAAACCATGTTCAACCAAAAACAATATCTGTTTTTATTCATTTAAGGGCCATTGTAGCTGATGCTGATTATAATAATGATAGTTTTAATATCATATACCGTGAAACCGTGATATTTTCTGAGACGATTATCATACCGTGAAAATCTCATACCGTTGCAACCCTAGTTGTAA